GTACTACAAACAAACCGTGCATTATTACGACCTCACTCTTCCTGAAGAACACAACGACCTATCCTGTTTGCGGCATATTGAGGGTAAAATGGCCATGGAGTGCACGTCCGTTTTCAGTTCTTTGAAATGACAAAGGAATGTGGTGAGTGCATATTTGTTTTTTACGTGTATGTTTTTTTAGTATACTGCCTCTCCACTGTAGAATAGGCCTGGTGTGCGTGACTCTTTGGAACATATGTTGACCATCCTCGAAATTCCCTCAACTTGCCACAGCTTTGTACATTTCGGTTATCCTATGCTTCCTGAACTCAATCAGAAAGGTACCCGTTTCGGAATAAAAATGTTGGTCGTTGATTTTTGGTGATGCAGCGCTCAGATTGACCTGCATAATGGTGACATTGGAGCAAGGATGACCCAAACTCTTTACACGTTGGCTACTGTAAAATTCCCCAAAAGGGTGGTTCGCCTTTGCAAGTTTCCTTTATCTGGAAACAAGCCAGTGATGTGCCCAATGGCCGTATTTAAATTCCACCTGGTGATGACGGCAAATGGTGGCAGAACCACCTACATGTATTGGTAAAATAAGTTGCAGTTAAAAGATGAACTTAAGAGGCTTATTCTTCAGAGGAAAGTCGGAACCGAGGGATCGAAGCGTTTGGTCGGTGAAATTATTCTTTAAAACTGCGAATTGTAATACAAATACAGCGTTTAGTTAATGTGCACAGGTCTTTTTCCCAGTCTGATATAAATTTCTTTCTTTCCAGATCTGATATCAGTATAATATGAAGTTTCCTGGTAGACAGTGTGGTCAAATAGTACTAACAGGAAGTGCAATTGGACTAACACTACTACCCTTAGTATTCATTGTGCACGAACTGACCGTCTCTGTCTACCAGACAAAGACCCGCCACAAAGAGCCTCGCGGGGGGGAGATCCCCGTCATACTGCGGCCGGACCGCCGCGCGTTGGATTGGCGAGAGGAGCTGCTGCGACAACTCAAGTCTGATCTTCTTGACGAGATCAACGGCATCCGCAGCGGGTCTCTCCCCGAGCTTCTCGCGTGTCACAACATCGACACGATCGACAAGAAGGAGCACCTGGGTAGGGGCGTGACCAAGGAAGTCTATCGCGGGGTGTACCGGGGTCGATCCGTCGCCCTGAAGATGGTCACCGACAAAGTGGAGGACATCAAGGCCTGCCGCCGCCGAAACAAGTACAAAAGGAAGTCCGACTGCTACGTCTACGCCAATTACAAACTGGTGAAGGAGATGGCACTGACAATGCAAGTAAATCATCCAAACATAGTGAAGGTACACGTATGCAGATTAGATCCGTCACTGACGATGACAGCACAGCGACAACATTGGACAACGGCAGTTGTCATTGACGTGCACTATACTTAAAAAAAGCCTCTGACTGAAGCAAAAATTAACTTTAAAAATATTTCTATAAGTAGGAAAAGAGCAGGTATATTTTAAGAAGTAAGCTTTTTGGAGAAATGTTATGAAGAAAATTATCTGAGAAGCTAGGCCTATCACCATATTGATATTTAGACT